TAGGACTTTTAAAATATTTATGTGCTTATTTAGTTATTCTTTTTATTTATTGATTTTTTTTTTTTTTGCAGTTTTTTATCTTGGCCGAGGTTGGGTTTGAACCCACCACCTCCAGCATATGGGGCTGGTGTCCTACTCCTTTGAGCCACAGGCACCGCCCAGTATTTATTGATTTATTTAGAAACGGGCTCGCCGCCTGTAGCTCAAGCAGTTAAGGCACCAGTCACATACACCAGAGCTGGTGGGTTCAAATCCAGCCCAGGCCTGCCAAACAATGACAACTGCAACCAAAATATAGCCAGGCATTGTGGCGGGAGTCTGTAATCCCAGCTACTTGGGAGGCTGATGCAAGATAATTGCTTAAGCCTAAGAGTTTGAGGTTGCTGTGAGCTGTGACATGGCACTCCACCCAGGGCAACAGCTTGAGACTGTCTCAAAAAAAAAAAATAGAAACAGAGTCTCACTCTGTTGTCCTCATTAGAGTGCTGTAGCATCATAGTTCACAGCAACCTCAAACTCTTGGGCTCAAGTGATCCTTTTGCCTCAGCCTCCCACGCAGCTGGGACTACAGGCACTAGCCACAACTCCCAGCTACTTTTAAAGATGGGGTCGGGCTCTAGCTCAGGCTGGTCTCGAACTCCTGAGCTCAGGCTATCCACCTACCTTGGCCTCTTAGAGTGCTAAGATTACAGGTGTAAGCCATAGTGCCTAGCCTTTTTTGAGCCTTTATTGAGACAGAGCCTCAAGCTGTCCTCCTGGGTAGAGTGCTGTGGCATCACAGCTCACAGCAAACTCCAACTCCTGGGCTCAAGCGAGACTCTGCCTCAGCCTCCCAAGTAGTTGGGACCACAGGTGCCCGCCACAACGCCTGGCTATTTTTTGGTTGTAGCCGTCATTGTTGTTTGGTGGGCCAGGCTGGATTTGAACCCGCCACCTTAGGTGTATGTGGCTGGTACCTTAGCCACTTGAGTCATAGGCACGGAGCCAAAAAAAAAAATTCTTATTAGAAAATAAGAAATGAAAAGCTCTTAGAGACTAATAGGCTTAAGATCACTAACAACTGGGCGAGTGCCTATAATCCTAGCACTATGTGAGGCCAAGGTGGATGGATTGCTTGAGCTCAGGACTTTGAGACCAGCCTGAGCAAGAGAGAGACCCTGTTTCTACTAAAAATAGAAAAAAAAAGGTTTGATGTGCATAGCACAGTGGTTATGGCACCAGTCACATACGCCAAAGTTGGTGGGTTCAAACCTGGCCTGGGCCAGCTAAACAATAATGACAACTGCAACAGAAAATAGCCAGGCATTGTGGCAGGTGCCTGTAGTCCCAGCTATTCAGGAGGCTAAGGCAAGAGAATCACTTAAGCCTAAGAGTTTGAAGTTTCTGTGAGCTGTGATGCCTCAGCACTCTACCAACGGCAACATAGTGAGACTCTGTCGCAATAAAATACATAAATAGGGCGGTGCCTGTGGCTCAGTGAGTAGGGTTCTGGCCCCATATACCAAGGGTGGCGGGTTCAAACCCGGCCCCGGCCAAACTGCAAGAAAAAAACAAAATAGCTGGGCATTGTGGTGGGTGCCTGTAGTCCCAGCTACTTGGGAGGCTGAGGCAAGAGAATCACCTAAGCTCAGGAGTTGGAGGTTACTGTGAGCTGTGACTCCACAGCACTCTACCAAGGGCGACAAAGTGAAACTGTGTCTAAAAAAAAAAAAGGGCAGCTTCTGTGGCTCAAAGGAGTAGGATGCTGGCCCCATATGCTGGAGGTGGCGGGTTCAAACCCAGCCCTGGCCAAAAATTGCAAAAAAAAAAGAAACATAAATAAAAATGAAAATAGAAAAAACTAGCCAGGCTTAGTGGCACATGCCTATGGTCCAGGCTACTTGGAAATCTGAGGCAAGAGGATTGCTCAAGCCCAAGAGTTTGAAGTTGCTGTGAGCTATAACACCATGGCACTATAGGCACTAGAGCAGTGGTTCTCAACTTGTGGGTCACGACCCCTTTGTAACAATGAAAATACATCCTGCATATCAGATATTTATGATTCATAACAGTAGCAAAATTATAGTTATAACGTAGCAATGAAAATAATTTTATGATTGGGGGTCACCACAACATAAGGAACTATATTAAAGGGTCACAGCACTAGGAGGCATTAGGACAGTTGAGAACCACCGGACTAGAGGCACCTGCCATAATACCCAGCTATTTTTAAAGATGGGGTCTCACTCTGGCTCAAGCTGGTCTCAAACTCGTGAGCTCAGGCAATCCACCAGCCTTGGCCTCCCAAAGGGCTAGGATTTACAGGTGTAAGCCACCTCATCCAGCCTATCCTGTGAACTTTATTCAGATTTCACCAATGTTATGCACTGATGTGTGGTAATGCATCCATATAGTCCTTTTTTTTTTTGAGACAGAGTCTCACTTTGTCACCCTTGGTAGAATGCCGTGGCATCATAGCTCACAGCAACCTCCAGCTCTTGGGCTTAAGCAATTCTCCTGCCTCAGCCTCCCAAGTAGCTGGGACTACAGGCACCTGCCACAACACCCAGCTATTTTTTAGAGATTTGGGAGTGAGGGGGGCGTCCTTGCTCTTGTGCAGGCTGGTCTCAAACCTATGAACTCAGGGCAATCCACCCACCTCAGCCTTCCAGAGTGCTAGGATTACAGGTGAGCCACTTTGCCCAGCCTGTATGCATATATAGTTCTATGCAATTTTAGAATTTTAGGACATGTGGAGACTTGTGTGACTACAACCACAGTCAAGACATAAAACACTTCCATCATAAGATTCTCCTGTACTACCCTTTTATAAATGTTACTATAACTCCCCTCCAAACCTTTCCTTAACTCCTCCCTGGCAACCACTTAATGGTTCTCCCTCTCTGCAATTTTTAAATGTAATTTAGGTTTGATCATAATTTGAAACCAGTGGGACAGAAAAGACCTCAGCCTCATTGCCTGCTAGAGTTTATATTAGCACTCTTTGGGGGACAACATGAAACATTGCTTTTAATTATACTGCTTCTGGTTTCTTTAGAATGATTTTCCACTAGCTGGGTGTTGTGGCAGGTGCCTGTAGTCCCAGGGAGGCTGAAGCAAGAGAATTGCCTAAGCCCAGGAGTTGGAAGTTGCTGTGAGCTGTGAGGCCACGGCACCCTACCGAGGGCAATAAAGTGAGACTCTGTCTCTAAAAAAAAAGAATGATTTTCCACTAATATTACCTATTCTAGGGATGGGAGACTTACCCTGCCTTTTTAATGAAGAAGCAACCACAGGCTTTTTCAGGCCACTTTTCCTTAGATTACTGCTCACTGCATCTTGAGGCAATAGTGAAGAGTTCATCTGTGCACCTAAACCAGAAATCATTCCTGTGTTTAATAACATGACCACAGAACATAAATTGATTTGATATTAATTTCTTTAGAGTCTAAAAAGTATGAACAATCTTTGCTAATTTCTAGGTTAGTTTCCAAGTTTCTAGAAGGAATTAGCGTTAGCCTTTATACATAACATTTTAACTCTCTTTATAGGAAATTAGGGGAATAAACAAAAGTGAAATGAAGAAAAAAGTTTACCCATTACTCCTACCTCTCAATCATAATTAATATTCTGGTGTGCTGTCTCCCATTTTCTTTCCCATGAATAGTTTGTTTTGCTGATTTTGTGATTTTAAGTAGCTGTGATTATACTATAGTTGTCAGATTTAGCAAAAAAAAAAAAATGCTTTGAAATTTCAGATAAACAAGGAATTTGTTAGTATAAGTACATTCCAACTATTGCATGGGAAATACTTCTACTAAAAATTATTTGTTATTTCATCTGATTCAAGTTTAATCGTGCATTCTGTACTTTACTTGGCTACCTAAGTGAGCTAAACATTTTCCCAAATTCTTTTTTTCTTTGTTCTGAGACAGAATCTCACTGTGTTGCCTAGGCTAGAGTGCCCTAGCATCACCGCAGCATAGCTCACAGCAATTTCAAACTCCTGGGCTCAAGTGATCCTTCTACATCAGCCTCCTGAGTAGCTGGAACTATAAGGACTCGCCACAATACCTGGTTAATTTTTCTATTTTTAAGAGAAATGAGGTTCTTACTCTTGCTCAGGCTGATTTCAAACTCCTGAGCTCACGCTATCTACCTGCCTCAGTCTCCCATATTGCTAGGATTACTGGCCTGAGCTGCTGTACTCAGCCCCCCAAATTCTTTATAATCATTTTTAATGGCTGACTAACATTCTAAGGTAAAGTGGTTTGACCAGAGCTCTTTTAACTACCTCAAGTTGTTGGCCCTTAGTTGTTTTAAATTTTTCAATATCACAAATAATCACAAAATGGGTATCTGGACAAAATGCTTTTCCTATATCAAAGATTATTGCTGTAAAGAAGATTATTTAGAAGTTGGACTCCTGGGGTGGGATACAATGACTCATGCCTGTAATCTCAGCATTTTCGTAGGAGGTAGGAGGATCACCTGAGCCTAGGAATTTGAGGCCAGCCTGCACAACACAGTGAGACCCCATCTCTGCAAAAAATATAATAAGCAGCCAGGCAAGGTGCCATATGCCTGCAGACTTAGCTACTTGTGGCTAAAATGGGAGGATTCCGTGAGCCGAGGAGTTTGAGGCTGCAGTGAGCTATGATCTCACCACTGCATTCCAGCCTGGACAACAAAGCAAGACCTTATTGAGAGAGAGAGAGAGAGAGAGAGAGAGACTGCTGAATCAAAGGGTAAGAATTGTTACTTATTTTTTCTTGAGAAGGGTCTCAGTATGCCACCCTAGGTAGGTAGAGTGCTGAGGCATCACAACTCACAGTAACCTCAAACTCTTGGGCTCAAGTAATTCTCTTGCCTCAGCCTCCCAAGTAGCTGGGACTATAGGCACCTGCCCAATGCCTGGCTATTTTTTTGCTGAAGATGTCATTGTTGTTTGGCAGGCCCAGGCTGGGTTTGAACCCACCAGCTCCAGTGTATGTGGCTGGCACCCTAGCTGCTGAGCTATAGGTGCTGAGCCACTCTTTTTATTTTTTTGAGACAGAGTCTCACTCTGCTGCCCAGGCTAGAGTGCCATAACATCAATGCAGCTCACAGTAACCTCAAGCGATCTTCCCGCCTCAGCCTCCCCCAGTAGCTGGGACTACAGGTACCCACCACAATGCCTAGCTAATTTTTTCTATTTTTAGTAGAGATAGGACCTCATTCTGGCTTAGGCTGGTCTCAAATTCCTGAGCTCAAGGAATTCCACTGTTTTGGTCTCCCAGAGTGCTAGGATTACATGTGTTGAGTCACCACACGTGGCCAAAAGTTGTTTTACAGAATAAGTAAACATTTAGCAGTAATCTTTGTTCTATATTGCTGCCAGAATTGCCTCCCTAAAATACAGAAATGACCGTGTCACTTTGTTCCTACATCTTTCTTAACTTTCCAGTACCAAACTCCTATTCATGACCACCTGATACACCTCCACAAATATTCTCTATGGGTAGGACAATTTTAAGGTTCTTAACAGATAGTGCAAGCCAATTACAAGGGATTAAAGCAGCTTACATTGCCCTAGCCGTGCTGGAGAGCCTGGATTTGCCTTTGGTCTCATCATTTTAAAAATATTTTTGCTAATTATGGGCAGCACCTGTGGTTCAGTGGGTAGGGCACTGGCCCCACATACCGAGGGTGGCGAGTTTGGCCCCAGCCAAACTGGAACAAAAAAATAGCCAGGTGTTGTAGCAGGTGCCTGTAGTCTCAGCTACTCTGGAGGCTGAGGCAAGAGAATTGCCTAAGCCCAGGAGTTGGAGGTTGCTGTGAGCTGTGATGCCACAGCACTCTACTGAGGGCGATAAAGTGAGACTCTGTCTCTAAAAAATATATATATATATATTTTTGCTAATTTGATAGCAAAAGGTACCTTGTTTTAATGTTCCATTTGAAATATCTGCGTTCTCTGTTTACTAATGTGTTTTGTCCACATGTATGGACCAGATAATATTTTCATTTAGGGTAGGGTGCAGTGGCTTGTGCCTGGAATACTAACACTATGTGAGGACAAGGCATATGGATTGCTTGAGCTCAGGAGTTTGAGACAGGCCTAAGCAAGAGCAAGACCTTGTCTCTAAAAATAGCTGCGTGTTGTGGAGGACACCTGTAGTCCCAGCCACTTGGGAGGCTGAGGCAAGAAGATTGCTTGAGTTAAGAGTTTGAGGTTCCTGGAAAAAAAAAAAAAAGAGTTTGAGGTTGCTGTGAGCGATAATGCCAGGGCACTCTATCAAGGGTGACAAAGTGAGACTCCATTTCAAAAAAAAAAGATTTTTTTTTTTTGTTTAACATCTGGATCACTTGACACAAGCATACTTTAGCATTTTCATATTGATTTATGAATCCTTAAGTGACACTGGTTTTAAGTAACTGAATTTAAAAATATACATGTATCTCCACATATTGCAAATGCAGACAACAAACTATATTCCTAAACTCGTGTGAGGAATATAGCTAACCACTGACACAAGTTTTTTTGGTTTTTTGTTTTTTTTTAACAGAGCCTCAAGCTGTCACCCTGGGTGGAGTGCTGCAGCATCACAGCTCACAGCAACATCCAACTCCTAGGCTTACGGGATTCTTCTGTCTCAGCCTCCCAAGTAGCTGGGACCACAGGTGCCCGCCACAATGCCTGGCCATTTTGGGGTTGTAGTTGTCATCATTGTCTGACAGGCCCAGGCTGGATTCGAACCTTCCAGCTCTAGTCTATGTGGCTGGCACCTTAGCCTCTTGAGCTATAGGTGCCAAGCCTGACCCAAGTTTTTTATAAACCCTGTGGGGATGAAAATGTCATAATACTATCCTAAAGCAGATTTAGGTGTAAGATTATCCTGAATGTTTAAGGGATGACCAAACATATACAATAAAAGCAGAGTTTGGTTGGATCTTTTTTTTTTTTTTTTTGGCCAATAGAATGAATGTTAGGCTTGACTTGACAAAGAACTATCAATAGACGGTAAACATTTTTTCAGGAAAAGGCTTGGCGTCCGTAGCTCAGCAGTTAGGGCACTGGCCACATGCACCTGTGCTGGTGGGTTTAAACCCGGCCCAAATCTGCTAAACAAACAAACAACAACAAAAAAAAATAGCCAGGTGTTGTGGTAGGCACCTGTAATTCCAGCTATAAGAGAGGCAAGAGAATCACTTGAGCCTGGGATTTTGAGGTTGCTGTGAGCTGTGATGCCACAGCACTCTACCTAGGGCAACAGCTTGAGATGCTGTCTCAAAAAAAAAGAACCAGCGTGGCGTCTGTGGCTCAACTGGCTAAGGCGCCAGACACATACACCTAAGGTGGTGGGTTCGAATCCAGCCTGGGCCCGCCAAAACAACGACAATGGCTGCAACCAAAAAATGGCTGGGCGTTGTGGCGGGAGCCTGTGGTCCCAGCTACTTGGGAGGCAGAGGCAGGAGACTCGCTTGAGCCCAGGAGTTGGAGGTTGCTGTGAGCTGTGATGCC